CCCCAAAGCCCCAGTAGATAGTTGTATGTCATAGTTGCACATCCTTCTAGTTGCTGTATGTGGGACGCGGCCTCAGCATGGCCGGAGAAGTGGTGCGTCTGTCGGTGCACGCCCAGGATCCGAACCCGGGCCACCAGTAGCGGAGTGCGCGCACTTAACTGCTAAGCCATGGGGCCGGCCCTGTCTAAGTAACAAGATAGCTTCTTTTAAAGAGTACTGACTTTCCAGGTTTTTTGTAATACAAAGGAAAGTTATCATTGATTCGTATGTAATAAGGCCACCTATTTAAGAGGAAAGTAAGGGGCCAGCCCAGTGGCCCAGCGGTTAAGTGTGCACGCTCTGCTTCAATGGCCTGGGGTTCGCAGGTTCGGATCCTGGCATGCACCGACGCACCGCTTATCAAGCCACGCTATGGTGGCATCCCATATAAAGTAGAAGAAGATGAGCAGAGATGTTAGCCCAGGGCCAATCTTCGTCAGCAAAAAGAGGAGGACTGGCATCGAACGTTAGCTCAGGGCTTGTCTTCCTCACCAAAAAAAAACAAAGAGGAAAGTAAGCCTGGTGCTCATGTCTGGATAACTGGTGGGAAACAGCTTTTTATCTTTTGTATATCTAGGGAAGTAATTACTGAATTTACAGAATGAGGGGAGTAAAGGCAAGTTTAATACCAGCCATGTTGTGACCATTCATACTTTTGATATGGTTATTATGTTGACTTAGTTCAAACACCATAGGAAGAGACAGTGACTTCAGAATCACTCCCCACGCAAAAGACCCAGTCCTGAGAAGTGAAGAGGCCTCTGTCTTTGCCAGCTGATGTGTAGGAATATAGTCTAAAAAACACAATGTGGTACATATTCTTTGATTAACGGAGAGTTTGTGCCCATTAGAAAACAGTTCTCCTAAAACCCCGACTCTTTCAGGGCGATCGAACATCCTTTGGGTTACCTCCATGATCAGACAACTGAGCAGAGGGAGGGAAGCTTAAAGCTCAAGGGTGAGGAGACAGTGCCAAATGCACACTTACCAGGAATGAACATAAAGCAACTCAAAAACTGCATCTTGGTTAAGAGGAAATGATTTAATTGTACAAGGTTAGCTTTACAAAACTTTTAGGAAAGCGTCTATTGCATCAACCACCTAATATCTAGCATAACTTTGTTGGTCTAAGTAAAACATTAGATCCTCTTTTTGTATTTATGCTATGCAGTTTTTATCCCAGAGACGTGCATGTAATTTTGCTAACCAGTAGTATTCTTCAAATTTTCAAATTCTAAATTCTGCTCCATAAGGAGGTAAAACTCTAAAGGGAGAAATCTTTAGCCACCCAAGTGTTTCTTCTTCAATGGAGCTGGTTTGCCACTCTAGAATATGGGGTGGAGGGTTTTGCACATGAATAGGTCTGGGGCAGATGGTAGCCCTAGGAAGCAACTTCAAGAGACAGGTAAGAAATGAAGGTTCTGAGTGTATATAAAGTAGATATGTCTGTGACAGGATGGAGATGCGGAGTGACTTGGACAAGGGAAAAACAATAAGGCAGTTTTGGAGCAGTGATTCCCCCAAATTTATTCAGTTCATCGTTGAGTCTGTTTGCCAGGCATTATTTATCACCTGCCTTCTGTCCTCACAGCTCTCTACTGGGCACTAACTTTGAACATGAGGACACCAAATAATCAAGGCCCAGATAACGGCAACTCAGGTCACATCAATGGCTAATATGTGTACAGATTCTTCCTAATCTGCAGGAGGGGGACACTCTAATCTAGGTGATGAGTTGAATTTGTGTAATAGTTAACTGCTCTCATTTTAAATAATGTCCTCTGAGGCTGATAAAAATATTTTCTTTTCTTTTTTTTTGTGAGGAAGATCAGCCCTGAGCTAACATCCAATGCCAATCCTCCTCTTTTTTGCTAAGGAAGATTGGCCCTGGGCTAACATCTGTGCCCATTTTCCTCTACTTTATATGGGACGCCACCACAGCATGGCTTGACAAATGGTGCGTCGGTGCACGCCCAGGATCTGAACCTGCAAACCCCAGGCCGCTGAAGCAGAGCGCTCGGACTTAACTGCTGCACCACCAGGCTGGCCCCAAAAATATTTTCTTACAGAAGAAATTTCCTTCCAGGTTGGTCTTCCCCCTTCTTCTCATAGAATCAAAGTAATTGACTATTAAGATAGAAATAATTTTTTATTAAAAAAAATTTTTTTTTACTCCGTTTAACAATCCTAGTTATTTTCTTTATAAAAGCCTGTTTGAGCTCTCCTGTATCTTTCCTTGGCCTCATTCATTGGTCTTGATAAAACTAATGTTCTCCTTTGCTCTTAACCTACTAATACAGGATGCAATCGACCCATGCGTCTTTGTTCCTATGGCAGATATGCAATATTTTAAATTTGACATGGGTTACCTTAAAAGAATAAACAATCTCTTCTGAGGGTCTCTTTAGAGCTGATTATTATAGAGCTGTCTAGATATAGGGAAATGGCCTAAAAGACCCTTTATGGCCCAATTCAGTCCTTGAGTTCTCTAGTTTTAAGGAGGAATTTTTGTGACTTTATTGAGTTAAATGTGCTCATTTTAGCCCAGTGAACAGCTTTGACACATGATCAGATCTAGTATTAAGAGATGATACTGAAAATGGTGACTTTTGTTTATCCATCCAATCATTCATCAGACAAAAGGCCAGGCTCTAAGAGCTCAGCATACAAAGATGAGTAAGACATAGCCCCTGCTCTCATAGGGGAGACAGAAACGTAAACTAATAATTGCCATCAGTGCGAGAAGTACAATAATGGGCGTGTACATCAGGTACAATGGTGGGCCCAGGAGGAGGTGATAAACTCAGTCAGAGGAATCAGAAGAGATTTGACTGAGCTTTTTCAAGCAGAATTACTTCCTGTTGTTTCCTGATTTTTATGGTACCCAAGTGATAAATGTGCAACAGAGGAGAATCATTCTTCAAACCAATCTCTCAAGTACCAAAATACAACATTGTGTTCTGGAAAGTAGGACAGCTTGTAATCACTCCTCCAGTCATATCTCTTGTTGCAGCTAAACAGGAAGAAGTGTTTATTGCAAATGTGCGTTTTGTACCTTTGCTGAAGAACGGATGTGATCTGCTTGCAGAAATTCTCTCCATTTTGAGAAAACTCCTTTAGGTTCTTGTATACTTTGTTATACTGAAAAAGAAAAGATGCACAGAAGGCTTATGAGCACTTCCACAGATAGAACTCGTATAAATTCAGAATGCTGCTGTAATGATGACTGTCATTTAAAATTATCATGCAGCTAAGAGATGCATACCTTTTGGATGAGTTCCTAAAATAAAGATTAAATCTCTTCTGCCTGGATATGAAAGATCCTGGAGAATTTTTCAATAGTAGAGCTGGTCTATCTGTTTCTTTCTAGGTCAAATGCAAACAATTCAGCAGTGGGGTACATTTAGAGTCTGGCCTCCTGACACCCCTATTGTTGTCAGGAATGTTAAATGTACATCCTGAAATACACTGAGTAATCATTTTGTGTCTCTTTCCTAAATAACATCCCTGGGCCTTGTGACAAACCTTGAACCATTAAAGACACTGTTTCTTGGCTGAGTATGAAAATGTAAGTGAATAACACGTTAATAAAATTTGTTCTACTTCTCTCTATATCTCATTTAACTCTAGAATTAAGAATGTTATAACAATGAGTTGAACATTTTGGTTGAACCAAACTTTTATAAATTTATAAATAAAACTTTATAAATTTATTTATATATGAATTTAGCCTGCAGACACAAGAATTCCAATCGAATGCTTTTGTCATTTGGTTTAGAACTCCACAATGTCATTCTGAAAGTTATATTTGTAAAGGTAGACATTGATGACAATAGATTTTAAATGGCCAAATGGAAAGAGTAAATGTCAGTTGATTCCGGAGCTTTCCTGACACAGAGCAGGTGAATTAGGCAATGGAACAGTCCCAAACACACTCTCTCAGTTTCCATCTGGGAGGTGCGATAGCCAATTGCATTTTTCATAATGAGATTTTACACAAGAGGATGAAAATTCTTTGTAGATTGAATGCCTTGCAGTGGCTCTTTGCTCACACAATGAGCCAACATCTTCCAGCACTCAAGTATCTCTGACAGGCAGCTGGGCACCACGTCGAGCACTCACACTTACTGAATGCCTGCTAAGCAGCTAGCACATTCACATCCATGAATCCTCAGGGCTGGGACAACCTTTCAGTTGGCCCAGTAGCACCTGGAGTCCAGTGCTAGCAGAGTAGCAAACAGAGGACATAGGGCCACAGAGGAGGAAGGGACCTAAAGACATGACCTGATCCAGGTCCCTTGCTTTAGGAGTACAATGGACCAATACCTAGGATGTAGAAACAAATCCTATAGACACCAAATCCTTTTATCCTCCTTAAGCACTAGTTTAACTCGTCTCTGAATTTAACAGAGAAAGCCATGGCAGGAATTGGAAAACACACAGTAGGAGCACACAGCTTCACTGAAACTGCCTGGACACAAGGACAGCAGTCACGGGGCAAAGCCCTTTATAAGGACATCATTAACTCCTAAACGCCTAAAGCAAGGTTTGCAAAATCACATGCCTGCAGGTACCTGAATGAGTGACAAGCAGGGTGGGGTCAGTGGGCTGGAGAGGCAGCTGGAGAGGGCCAGCTCTCTGGCCCATGAGAATGTGATTCAAGATGGCCAGATCCTCCAGTTTGTCAAAAAAGCTGAAATAAGGATTTGCATCTGAAATACGACTTTTAAAAAAATTGTAGCAAACAATTCACAAATTTTAAAACTCTCTGCAGAGCAAGCAAAACACACCTGTGTTGTGGTCCAGGTGTAGCCTCTGTGATGAAGAAATGATTCTCCTCTGAGAGTTGTGAGAGTAAAATCACTATTTGGCAACCAAGCTTTCTCATTTTTATTTCCATAAAAATAACTTGTCATCTATGAATGATATGACACTATGAGGCCTCCTTCCTCCTCTTACAGGTACAATGGGAGCATTTTAGCGAGCATTTTAAAATTGTTTAGCATTTTTTGTTCACTCCTGTTACCTAAACATTTTCACTAAATTCTCTCCTGAGCCTTTTATTTTCTTCCCATGACACCAAATAACATCGCAGAAAACACACCTGGGTATCCTGAAAAGAAAATTGATAAATGTTTACCAGTGCACATACCCCTGGAATAATGCCATTTCTCAGCCTCTCTCATCCTTAGGTGTAGCCATGTGACTAAATGCTTTATTTAGTCCTGAGGAGGTATGCTTGAAAGTTTTGAGTGGGGTTTCAGTGAAGGTTCCTTCCTCGTCTTTCTTGACCCCTGGACTTAGAAATGACGGCTGATGCCATAAGGCGGTCTTGAGGATGGACAGCTTGTGCTAAGATTGTGGAGCAGAAAGAGAGAAAGAGCCTGGGTCCCTAAGGGCTCTGGGGGCCACTACACAAAGCCTCAACTCTACTTTTGGACTTAGTTTATGTATGAGAGAAATATAACAATAGGTTTTTAAAAGTCATTCTCTTTTTGGTTTCTTTTTAATATGCAGCTGAACATAGTTTTAACTCATACACAGTCTTAACTTTTTATTTTAAATTATGAAACGTTTTTATGTTTCATAAAATAATAATGATACAGAAAATAATAATGATACACACATTATGTACTCACTACCTAAGTTACAGAGATATTAACACTTTGCTTCTGCTTTCTCTTTAAACAACTATTTTTTCCTTTTCATAATTTTTTTGACTATTCTTGGGCATTTATTCTTCCATATGAACATTTATCTAATTACAACTGTTTTAAAATCCCTGTTGGGATTCTAATTGGAATTGCATTACATATACATATCAATTTGGGGAAATTGACTTTTTTATAGTATTTAGACTTCCCATTCAAGGACATAGTAAGTCTTTTTATTTGTTCAAATATTATTTTATGTTCAATAAAATCTTATGGTTTTCTTTATAGGTCCTGTAGCTTTCTTATTTGATTTATTTAGAAATATCTCACAGTATTAAGCTGTGTATTTTTATGTATTGTCCTCTCTGCTTCTCTCTTCAGCTCACAGCAAAGACCCAACAAAAACACCAGGGGGCCAAGTGCAGGAGAGAAAGATTTGGATGCACGCTTGCAGAGTGAGTTTTTCTCCTCTCAAATACTCTCAGGCTAGGGCTGGGGATGGGAGAAGACAAAATAGAAAGATGGATTGGAGGGATTTAGAGACTTCAGAATGGGAACAAAGAGAACCTTCCACTGGGAGAACCAGGAGTGGAAGGAAGAGACTCTGAGATGAGCTGTCCTGGGGGATGGCCCACCATCCCCCATCATCACCTGAGGACAGTCGGCATCCATCAGTCTTGGGAAGAAAATAGGGGACCTTAGACACCATATGTGAGGATGGGACGTATAAGGGAAACCTTACCCCTAACCAAAGTGGAAATGAGTAGAACCAGTCAAGATTTTTTTATGTGCTGGGGCTTCAGGGGCTGCTGCATTTCCCACATTTATGAAAGTATTAAAAGTCTCTAAGACAAATTTTTGAGATACTATCTCCAGGGCACTAGTTCTAGGAGGCCAGACTGTCCTGAAATTTTATAAACCAGTGATTCAAAACTCAATTGCCTTTAGCAAAGGAAACCATGAACAAAAGGAATAGACAACCCACAAACTGGGAGAAAATATTTGCAAGTCATATGTCCAACAAGGGGTTAATTTCCAAAATGTATAAAGAACTCATACAACTCAACAACAACAAAACAAACAACCTGATCAAAAAATGGGCAGAGGATATGAATAGGCATTTTTCCAAAGAAGATATACAGATGGCCAACAGGCACATGAAAAGATGTTCAACATCACTAATTATTAGAGAAATGCAAATCAAAACTACAATGAGATTTCACCTTACACTCATGAGAATGGCTATAATTAACAAGACAAGAAATAACAAATTTTGGAGAGGATGTGGAGAAAAGAGAACCCTCATATACTGCTTATAGGAATGCAAACTAGTGCAGCCACTGTGGAAAACAGTATGGATATTTCTCAAAAAATTAAAAATAGAAATACCATATGATCCAGCTATCCCACTACTGGGTATTTATCCAAAGAACACGAAATCAACAATTCAAAGAGATTTATGCATCTCTATGTTCATCACAGCATTATTCACAACAGCCAAGAAGTAGAAGCAACCCAAGTGTCCATCAAAGGATGAATGGATAAAGATGTGGTACATACATACAATGGAATACTACTCAGCCATGAAAAAGACAAAATCATCCCATTTGCAACAACACGGATGGACCTTGAGGTATTATGCTAAGCAAAATAAGTCAGACAGAGAAAGACAAATACCATATGATTTCACTCATATGCGGAAGACAAACAAACACATAGATAAGGAGAACAGATTAGTGGTTAACAGAGGGGAAAGGGATGGGGGGGAGGGCGAAAGGGATAAAGAGGCACATATATATGGTGACGGATAAAAACTAGACTATTGGTGGTGAACACAATGCAGTCTATACAGAAATTGATATATAATAATGTACACCTGAAATTTACACAACGTTGTAAGCCAATATGACCTCAACAAAAAAACTCAATTTAAAAAAAACTCAATTGCCTTTAGAGGAGAGTGGGGGAGACTGTGGCAAAGTGGAATGTGCCTGATTTTCCTGAAGGCACTCAAATTCAACTTTTTAAGGCAAGAGGGTGCTCAAACAAAACACATCTTAGGGCTTCAACTGACCCTGGGAGTGCCAGTTTTAGATTTTGAAAGATGATTTCCTGTCACTTAACAGACCAGTACTTCCTAACTTTTTTCACATCATGGCACACCTAGAAAATGACATTTCTACTGGGACAGAGTGGTAAATGGACTAAGTTGTTCCAGGCAGAGGCAACTGGTCCACGAGCTCTGCCCCCCAGCCACACCTTGCCAATAGGAGGGCTGAGGGGATGTGTGTCTCATGGACACCTATAACTCCTTCCCCAAACTCCGGGTGCGCCCAGGCACACACAAGTCAGGAAGCTCTTCCGTACGCTATGCTGTTGTTAACTTAGTGATCAGATAAGAGTGGGATGTTCTGCTTATTATAGCAATAGAGAGAATCTTTATCTTTGACCTTATGTACAGTGCACTGGACACTCCCTGATAAACCC